TTATAGAATAATACGTTATTATACTATTTATGGGTAATAAGAGTCGAACTTATATGAATTAATTTCACCCCGTCCTAAGCGGGACCTGTCTACCGATTTCAGCATACCCATTTTTAATACTGTTTGTTTATTTTTTTTTTATTAAAAAAAAAATAAACAAACAGAAAAAAAAGAAACTATCCCCTTTTATTTTTTTTCGACATAATTTCTATGAAATTATTAGAAAAAAAAATTAGGGGATGCCCTCAGGTATCCCCTGCTTTTTTTTTTTATTTATATAAATTAAAAAAAAAGCTGGGGATCCCTTCGGGATAGCAATAAACATTAGAGCAAAAGAAAATTAAGGAAAATAAGTTAATTCACCCTAAATGTATAATACTATATAAAATAGCTAAATACACCTTAAATAACCTAAATTTAGTAGTATTTTCATTCATCATAAAAATTAAATAATTAGTAAGCTGTATACCGTTTTTAATTTATCTTTTATAATAAACGAATACTACTGTTTAAATAATATGCTCGAGATAAGATTTGAACTTATAACCTAAACATCTTAAGAGTTCCGCTCTATAGTAAGTATTTGTGTTTCTACTTAAAAAATGTAGATAATAAACAAAGCCGATAAATTTACTAAATGTAAAAATAAGCTATTGCCTGAGATAAGATTCGAACTTATAACCTAAGCATCTTCAAAGCTCCGCTCGGCCAATTGAGCTTCTCAAGCTTTTTTTTTTAATTATATATCTGTTTAAATATAACGTACCACTTTTCTTATAACTACGTATGGATCATTCACTTATGTTAAAAAATCTAGCTGCTTCAGAATTAGATCTAAAACTTTTTACTTCTCCGTTTATAGTATCTATACTATCCACAGCTAAAGCAGTTTTTGAATTAAGTATCCTATTTGCTCTTGAAATTTCACTATGTTTTTTACCAAAAAAAGGATGTTTTTCTTTGGTGTTATTGATACTCATAATACTTTTTGTTTTTTCTGAATGTGTAAATCCTAAAGACGAACCTGCTATTTTTAAGATGTTATATGAAGGACTTAGTTTATCAATATAATACTGCTCTCTAGTAATAAGCTCTTCTTTTTCACAATACTCTAAAATGTCCAATGTAAAAGCGTTGTATCCAGCCAATGTTTTAATAAAGAAGAATATATTTTAGATTTACTCTTCTAACTAAGCATATAATTAGTATTAAGATAATACAGAAATCTTCTAGTTAAATTGGTTGAGCTTCCCACATAAGATTTTTTACTATGTACATTAGTTCACCTGTATATACCTGATTTTCCTCTATTTTCATTTAAAATCTTATCCCTATCAGAAATCACATCCAAATAAGTTATAACTGGTACTGTATTTAGTACGTATACCTCTAACATAAATAAACTACTTTCTCCCTTTTGAAATAGTTTCTTTTTTTTCAATGAAAAAAAATAAACAAACAGTAAAGAGAGACACCCATAAACCATATCTATATTAAAAATAGTAAGTAAAGCACCGGATATAGATAAGAGACAAAAACCTAATGTACGTCAACCCTCCATTGATAAGGTTGAAGGTAGTAAAACATGAAAGCAGGATAGTAACATCTTTTTAAGGACAAAAAGGTTAAACCCGCCTCCGGAGATTTTTACTATGTTTATTCTTCTTTTCATTAGTTTAATAAAGAGTTGCACTTTATTTACAATAAAAATCAAATTGTAATTTCACTAGTCCCGGCCCCCCCCCCTGTAAAGGGGGGGGGGGAGGGTCCGAGCCTTGCCCCAAGGCGTGGACAAGTCCCCGCCCAGCCCCCGTACAGGGTTAAAAAAATTTTACATCCTAAAGGATGTAAACATTTTTTTAGGGGGCTAGTTTAAACTTTCAATTTTAATAAAGAGCTTCTCGAGCCTAGTCTCTTTAAACATTAATGGAGATATTAGGACTCGATCCTAAAATAACGATATGCAAAATCGCAGTTTTACCAATTAAACTATATCCCCTTAAGTTAATACATAAAAATAACTTATAAAGTAAGCCCAAGCGGGGTTTGAACCCGCGCATTTAACAGTGAAAATGTTACGTCTTAACCACTTGACTATTGGGCCTTAGATTTTATATAAATGCTTAAAACCGCAAAATATAAGAGTAAAAAAAAACAGTATTTAAATACTATGTAAAAGTAACAATATATTTATTTCCCTATAAGGCCAGAATGATTTGAACACTCATCTGAGCTGTTATGAGCAGCTTGCTTTACCTATTAAGCTATAGCCTTTAACTATGCGGACAAAGGACTTGCACCTCTATTTACTGGTCATGAGCCAGGTATGTTACTATTACATCAATCCGCGTTCATATTTGCCAGTAATTTTTTTTTTACACATATCCTATGTAAAAAAAAATTTTACAACCCCTTTTTCTTCTTACTTTTTTGTTTGATATATCCTATATATAAAAAAAAAGGTTAAAAGAGACTGGAGGGCTAATTTTTTTTTTATCTCAATGGTTTATTGCTATAGTTTCTTTTTTTTTCGTTTGGACCCCCTCTCCAGCTTTTTTTTTTATTTATATAAATAAAAAAAGCAGAAGAGAGGGGGGGGGGTTATGAAAAAAAAAAATAAACAAACAGAAAAAAAAGAAACGAAAAAAAAGTTAAGCAAAAGAAAAACAAACAACCGCAAGCTTATGGGGAAGGAAAATATCTAAATAGCCCAGTACGAGAATTGCACTCATATCTTCCGATTACAAAACGGGTGCATTACTATTATGCAAACCAGGCTAAATAAAGTATTTTTAATGATAAGTATGTTATTTAGTTAATGATAAAAATTAGTACTTTATACCTAAGAACATCAAAGCCCTTTCAGCCAAAGCCTATAACCCCTTAACCATGTTGTTAGAACTAGAGTTAACTGTTGCTACTATTCTAGCACTAACCCTATGAAAAATGGGATTCGTAATGTTATACTACGTTTCTAAGAGTATCCTAAGGTAAGCTTCGTGCCTAGATGCATTCAGCACTTATCTTAACTAACATAGCTTTCCTGCCATGCCTATACTATGTATAAATACTTGAGTATAAAAGTATTACCCTCTATAGCTCAAATAGGTAATAGATTCACATTGAATCTATCTATATTACTCTCCTTCTTCTGTAGTTACCCATTAACTAGTTAGTAAGGAGAACCTATTCTTGCCGTAATTTATCTGGTTAATATTAAGCGCATAAACAACAGGTAAACCATAGGTTACCATACCCAACTCCTTTCGTACGAAGGGGCTATCCTTATTTTACTCCAATTTCCTCTAGAAGATAGAAACCATACTGTCTCACGACGTATTTAACCCAGCTCGTGTAGCTCTTTAATCGACGAACAGTCGTACCCTTCATGATTCCTGCATTCATGTGGATGAGCTAAGCCGACATCGAGGTGCCAAACTGCGCACTCAATTTGTACTCTCTGGCGCAATTAGCCTGTTATCCCCAGCGTAGCTTTTTCAATAATACAAGACCTTTCCTTACTGCGTCTTGCGGTCTTTATGCCCTGCTTACGCAACTGATAGACGTGTATGTCAAACAGTAAAGCAAGATTAAGCCATTAAACTTTGGAAGTATATATCAACATCATTTCTTATACAGATATTCTGTAAAAAAAATAACTAATAGTGTTATAATTACATCTTGTTTTACCATTAGATAGTAATTATTAATACTATATATACACCTATTTTCCACATAGGTAAAATCTTACTTATATTAAATTGTTTTAGTTCTAACTTAAATAGAAATATAACTGAATTAGTTATAGATACCATTTTTTTTCTTAACAAAAAAAAATGGTAAATATAAAAAATAACAAACTAAATATAGTAATTAAAAAATTAAAATATACAAGGCAATTATTTAATAAAAGCCCTATATAATTTGCGTATAGCATATTACAAAAATAAATTTGGATACTCCCAGGTACTCTTTATGGGATCTGTGCCCCGCATAAACCATCTGCTAGCCATTGTCTCCTGAGCTTGATATAATCTCCCTCCTTTTATGGATTACATTCAGACGTCAGTTACACAAATGTAACCTATTCTACTGATATAACAACCAGAGTAAAGGTGTTTCAATTTTGTCGCTCAACTACCTTATTCCCTAAAACCTGTTAAATTATACCCTATAACTAGTAACAGTAAAGCTGCATGG